ATCGAGACTTGAATAGCGTAGTAAGAAGGATAAGAGAGGAGAGGAGAGAAGAGAAGAGAAGAGAAGAGAAGAGAAGAGAAGAGAAGAGAAGAGAAGAGAAGAGAAATCTGTCATCATTCCCTAAAAAAAAAAAAAACATTGTCATCATCGTCATCATCATCATCTTCTTCTTCTTCTTCATCCTCTGGCAGATAATTTATCCTGATATGTGGATTTCCTGTCCATCAAATATGAATCGATCCTCCTTCCTTGGACTCCAAAGAGTGCTGAGTCTCACAGTCCAGTAATTCTTAATTTTTTCATCATGTCATTTCCTCAGATCACTCTCAAACGTTATGAGAACTTCAGAAGGTAGTGACACCTGCTGTCTGGTACTTCTGCTACAACCCGGTAAGCCTGCCAAGGCCCAGACATGAAGGAGATACAGCTCATCTAAGTTCCATAGCCAGGAGCAACAGCTGGCAGAACACAGTTTGCAGCTGAAAGGGAGAACTGAGAGATAAATGGCCCACATCATTTGTGATTACGTATTGTCCCTCGCAGGCACACACACACACAGATACAGTAATAGTGCTTATATGTATTTGATACAAAAGATATTTGGAATAGCTTCCCACCTGAAATTCAAGGAACGTCTATTCTTTTCACCTTCCAGAAGGCCATGAAGACCTGGCTCTTCCCCTACCATTAGACTAGGATGGGGTTGAGTTCAGGGGTCAGTAGTATGAGTTTTTATGGCACCCACTTGGGAAGGGTAGGATGACTTTTACGCTGTTGTTTTTACTGGTTGCCGTGAGTCACCTAGGATCACTGTGCGAGATAGGTGGCCATATAAGGCCTTTAAATAAATAAATAACTATTTTGCAGTATTTGGTCACTGTCATGAAATAATATTTGATATTTGACAGTACAGGTAGCTAATATTATACATCCCAGCTGCTGTCAACCCTTTTCTCTTCAGTATCAGCCAAATAATATCCAACCCTACTGCTGCAATGCCCATTTCTATATAAAAAAATTTTTGTTGTTGTTGTTCAGTCATGAACTTCCACAAAATAGGGTGTGGACACTCTAGTGGACTTCAATCTTATATCCTAGAATTAAGTGACATTCAGATATAGTCCAGAATATCATTCTCACTATTAGCAGACTTGGTGGTGCAATGCTGCCCAGGGTATGGCAGGGAAATAGTGCCACTCATAAGCTACATTTTCTTCCTTACCTAATTGTCTGGATCCATCACAGTCAGGGCTTCCTCCAGGATATGGTGCTGAGACTACTTTGACTCCCTTGGTGAATGATCTATGCTGGAAACTAGATGTGGGAGGATGGGAGTGTTCCTGGACTCGTTCTCTACCTCTTAGTGGCTTTTGATACCATTCACACTAGTTTTCTAGTGGGGTTGGGCCTTGGGAGCACTATGGTGCAGTGGCTGAGGCCTGCATGTTGATCTATGTCCAGAAGGTGGCACTGGAATTCTGCTTTTAATACCATGGGCATTGACTGTAATGTTCCATAGGATTCTATCTCATCTTCTATACTGATTAACATCTACAGCATGTCAGTGTTTCTTATAGTGAGGTCAGAGGACACCTAGGGATCCTCCAAGACCCTCTCAGGAGGCCACAAAATCAAAATTATTTACCAGATATTAAAGATATTTGCAAAAATGTAAAACAATGTGACTCTTCTTGTTATTTTTTTATTTGTTTAAAAAATAGGGTTTTTCATGAAAAAGATTTTATTTATGTTAATATGTAATGGGTTTAATATTGTTATTTTATACGATTCAATAAATAAATATCCTACAAATGCATCCATTTTAATTTTTATTACAGTAAATATCAACCACTATAACCCATAGAAATAAACGCTCTTTTGGGATCCTCCAAAGTTTTTAAAAGTGAGAAGGGGTCCTGAGAGCAAAAGGTTTAACTAAAATTGATCTATGTGAAACTTCTAGGGGGGATCATTTTATTTTCTAGGGGAGCAGTGGAGTGGGATGCCAACAGCATTCTATCATTTAACTTCAAGGAAGTGATCAATACAGAGGTCAATAATGGAGTGGTTGAGAGAGAACACACTAAAACTAAATCCAGACAAGACAGAGGTAGAATTGGGAGGACACTGAACTAGGGGATTAAATGAAGCCTAATTTAGATGAGACTGTTTCCCCTGCAAAGAGCAGATTCACAGTTTGGGAGTGTGTTCTTTGGTTACCAGATTTACAGGGAGTAGTTCTGGTGGGGCATCCCTTTGTACAAGTTTAGCTGGTGGATTTCTTGGACTTGACAATGATTATCCAGACCTTGATTACAACCCATCTTGACTACTGCAACTATAATGGCCCCTAAAATACCCTAAGAAAGGAGAGCATGATGGAAGATGACAGTGGTGATGTACCTCAATCAAGTACACATTGTGTTCTTTTTACTAGCAGGCTATGGCAGCATTAGCTGTCACCAAGGGAACGTAGGGCATCTTGGAAGCCAGCCTCAAGGCTCAGCTGGTCTTACTGCCTCACCAGTTTTCCTTCCATGCCAATGCAGAAAGAAGCTCGCCTGGCATCTACAAGGGTCAGGACCTTTCAGTGGCAGCTCTGTAATTCCCTCCCCTAATGGCACAGTCTGGGCTGTTTTAAGAAAAAAAATTAAAAACTACTTTTATATTGTCACCTTTCTTCCATAGAGACTGTATTTATTTTGCTGTCTGGCCTTTTCAGTGTTAATCCCATGTTTCTGGTGCTGTTCTTTGTGCTGTTTCTGATTGCTATTTGATTTGATTTTTTAAAATTTATTTAATTTATTAAACACCCCTTGACTCCCAGCAACTCTGGGCAGTTCACAAAGTAAAAGCCCAGAAAAAATAACAATAACACAATACAACAATAAGACAGGAACAAACTCTGGCAACAACAAGAAACACACCCACACTACCCCAAAGGGGGTTCAGCCACCCTAGCTCAAGGCCTGGGCAAAGCACCAAGTCTTCACGGTCCTCCGAAACACCATGATTACCATTACTCTGTCTTCCTAAACATTCTCCAAAATGCTTCCTTCACTTCTTTGTTCCTCAGGCTGTAGATGAGGGGATTCAACATGGGAATCACCACAGTGTAGAACAAAGATGCCACTTTGTCTTGTTCCAATGCATATGTGGAGCTGGGCCGTAAATACATAAAGAAGATTGTCCCATAGAATAGGCTGACAACAATCATGTGGGACGAACAGGTAGAAAAGGCCTTGCGTCTGCTCTCTGTAGAACGGATCTTTAAAATGGTGATTAAGATACAGGCATATGAGAGCAAGATGGTTACTGTAGTGCCTACACAGTTTATGCTCACTTGTGCAAATACTACTGTCTCACTGGTGTGAGTATCAGAGCAAGACAGCTTTAGGAGTGGGGGAATATCACAGTAGTAATGATTGATAACCTTTGATCCACAAAAGGATAAAGAAAAAGTGAGTGTGGTGTGTAAAACTGCATAGAAAATGCCAAGGAAATATGAAATGGTTACCAGCCAGACACAGATTTTTCCTGACATGATCACTGAATAACGCAGAGGGAAACAAATAGCCACATACCGATCAAAGGCCATCACAGCCAGAAAAAGACATTCAGTGCTTCCACATATAACAAACACAAACATTTGAACTGCACATGCAGAGAATCCAATGCTTTTCCTTTCTGTTAAAAGAGACACCAACATATAGGGTGTAATGCTTGAAGAATAATTGACATCTACAAATGCCAAATTGCTGAGAAAAAAGTACATGGGAATGTGGAGCAGAGAATCCATCTTGATTAACATGATCATTCCTAGATTCCCCACCAGGGTGATAATGTAGATCAGTAGAAACAACACAAAGAGAGGCAGTTGTAGCTCTTTTTGATCTGTGATGCCCAGGAGAATGAACTTGGAGACACTTGTGTGATTCCCCCTGACATTTCTTCTTTGTATATTGTTGGGAGAAAAAAATGCAGTTAGACAGAGGATCAGAATTTACTTACTTTGTAAGGTAACTAAAACACTGGGACCAATATCTTCTGTCTACCACATATAGTGTGCATGTTATTTAGATGAGACTACATTATTCTGAAATCTATAGGCAAATGTCCTGATTTTTCCCTTCAAATTTCAATGTAACTTAATGCAACTATTTTTTTCTAGTTTATATATCCTCTAGCCATGGATTCAACACCATCCCTTAAACTTGTTTTTAGATGTTCCAGTGGTGGTATGTGTCTGTGTGTCTGTGTAAAGATGTGTTAAGATAGATAAATGGTATAAGAGAAGAGTTTATCTCAATACCTAGGGCCATGCCCTCCATTCAAACTAAGAGACCTCATTGCTGCTTTTAATAACGCTAAATTAGAACACAATATCCAGTTTGAGATCTCCTGGATATCATAAGATACTATGTGCTAGAATATGGTCTTCCTTACTATTCAATTATGTTTTACTCCCATTCTCTATGCTTTTCTGGTTACTGTAAATGTACATTGTCATGATCAGTGGTGCGTAACACTCGGCTATGCCCCAAACACATGCCCAGGAAAACCACAGTTCTGTGTCTCCTTCTTGAGTCTCACATTGCATATGCCCCTGAAAGCATACTATTACATGAGGAATTCAGTTGCCATCTGGAAGGTGACTTGGCAGGATCAGCTTAAGTACCCAATTACCATTGGAGGTTAACATTTTCTTGGTGCTCTGACAAGTTGATTCAGACATGCTTTTTATCAGGACATGAGCACCATGGTTAGTGATCAGCTGATAATTAAGAAAAACATGTTATCTTCATTTATTCTGGGCCTAGCCAATGGTAGACAGAGATCAGGGTCAATTCTCTGAAAATAAATAAATAAAATATAAATAGATGGAGACAAACATATACTTACCTCCTGTTTTTGAGAGGGCACCAGAACTTTGTGTCTGATGCATTTTCCAGATATATTGACTCAGTGAGAGAGGAAACAAGACTTCCTAAACCCTACCAGAAAGGATAGGAGGTTACTTTTCCTTATGCTTGTCCTTAAGAGGATTTTCCCCTGTTCCAGTAGGAGAAGAAATAACTATAATTCCAGCACCAGTGTATCTTTTTCTGTCTTCTGAGGGACCCATACGAATAATGTTGGTGGGACTGCTGTAAGCTATAGCTTTGAGCCAGACTTTTCAAGACCTCATCTTGGTAACATTGTCCTCAGAATTTACAGCTTATCTGAGAATGAAGTATTGACAGCATTACAGAAATTGCTAGGTGGGTGAGAGCTCCAGCAATATTTATTCCAACTCTGACTTAAAAACTCCCTGAAGGTTCTCATTCTCTTGTGACATGTTTGTTGTTACTGATGATGCTGATTCTGCTGATGCAGAGCAGAATAATGAAAATGACTTATGTAGGTCATCTCTGAGTAATTTCTGCCACCTTCCTGGTCCCTTGAACCAAATTAGAGATATTTTTCTCCTAAAGATCTATATGTTAGACAGTACCATGTTTATGTTATAAATGGGACAACTTTGAAACATTGTTGATACTGCTTGAAGGTCTTCTTTTTGTCCCGTTGTCAAAAATAAAGAAAAAAAGCAATAGTTCAAATGACAACAGAAATCAACAAACCAATAACAAACCAGATAACGTTGCTATCTTTTTCTAGCGTTATATAATAATGTTTAGCCGGCCTACATGCTCAAAAAGTTCACAGTTCTTGATGTCTTGATTGATGTAGACAAGATTCAGACAAGAAGAACCTATGGATTTTTAATGTATAGCAGTCAGTCTAGAGTCATATTAACAGTCCTGTGAGTTTAGTCCAAAATGTGGCCATAGGACAAATCTGAAGCGTGAGTTAATGTTTCAACTCTGGAATTACATCTCCCCAAGCAAGGCTATTCCAATTCATCCTTATTGAACATTTTTGAAGCATCTAATAGGCAAGAAGTAAGGTGGTTTTGTGATATTAACCTCATTTAAGATAATAAGAAATGAATGTCATGTTATTTATTTTATCCCCACAAATGTGATTTCCTTTCAGAGAACACTTGAACAAAACTGGATTAATTCAAAAGGATCTGAGACCTGAAAGGAGTAATGATGATTTCTCTGATGGCTGACCTGCACTATCTGGCAACCAATTCAGCTAACAGAGCAAAGGTGTTACGTGACCATGGTGAGGAATGCCTGTATTGGCCATGCTGCTCCGTCCTGGACCAGCTGCAGCTTCCAAGTGGTTTTCTTTACATATTTGCAGCCAAGGACAAATCACTCCCTAGGAACTGATAAAATCGCTTCCGTTTTCTACACACTTGTGATCCCCATGTTGAATCCCATGATCTACAGCCTGAGAAACAAGGAAGGTAAAGATGCCCTGAAGAGAAGAAGAGAGAGAATTCTGATTCTTCATTAAGGAACGATTACCTCCCCGCCCCAAAGGAAATTTATGTTCATTTATTTCTTTTCAAGCAAGAAATAAACTTTGGTTGTTGCTTTAATCAAGAGCAGCCCATTGCTCTTGTTCAGTGATTCTCAACCTTTTTGAAACTGCCGCCCCCCTAAGGAGTGGAAAATTTTTCAGCGCCATCCTTTGTGAAAATCCTGTAATTTAGGGTATTGGACGGGGGGAGTACCTGAATTATAAAAGGCAAAAATTTTAAGTAATTTTTTTCAGTAGACTTACACACCAAATTTGTTCAATTTAACTCGATACT